ACAAGGCTGACGGTTGCGGTAAGGCACCCGCGTGATTTTTGTCTCTTATGAAGATCAACTAAACAATCACAGTTCAGCTATGCCGCAAGAAAATAAGCGATCAACAAGAACGGCAAAATGCCTCGAATAAAGTGCAATATCCTTCATCCGCAAGATGAAAAGCAATATATCGCAACATATGTTCTCATTCTAAACTCGTCGTGACACCCACCTACTCTATTTGATTTAAAAATAAAGATAGCCGCAATAGTCGCCCCAGCAAAAATAAAACGTACATGATTGCTTAGAAACTGTGTGTGTTTTTATTCCTTAGTCAAGAAAGAATATCGGAACCCTATTCATTTAAAACATAAGCCAATTCGGGTGTCATCACACAGGTTGACAGATGTGATCACGATGACATGCTGATGGACGTGCAAGCCCATCGCCTGCCTTCCAGATACTAATTTACGCGAACACCTGATTTCTGCGCATCACCAATAAATTGTTTACAAACAATCGGTCGAAATGCCAGTGAGGCAAAACGTGAACATGACGTAAATATTATAGACCTTTCCAGCGCTCATCACCCGGGCGAAAAATTCTGAGTCACTTACCTGTGGACTTATGCGCAGCATCTGACATAGCACACAACAAAGCTACGGCGCACGCTCAGAAGGCGTACACCAGCCCAGCAGACAAAGATGGCAGCGAGAAGAAGGCGATTTTTGCAAAGGTCTATTCACTCCGCTTTATTTAGCATCAATTTAAATTAGAACAAACACGCATTCATATTCCATAGTATCACGTGTGATTCCGTGTAAGTTGGGTATAAATAAAATTTTTTAAATGTGACAAGGGCATGTCTGCCTTAGCAACTCTATTCCACGTCTTTGTCGACATTTCTTACCGAAGTGTAGTCGGGTCGTGTTTTCCTTTCACGCTCCTCTGAATTCTCGACACAACGGCTGTAATTACGCATCCCTAACGCAAAAAAGCAAAATCAAAACAAAAAACAACGTTAAAAATAAACTTATAATCCTATGGATCTGGCAAAGCCGGGGCACCGCGACCTGATTGTGACAGAAAATGCTAAGACATAAAATTTCTTCGCTTTTTTTCTCTGCTTTTTCCTGGGTTTGGGGGGGGGGGGGGGGGGGGGCGGGGGGGCGGGGGAGGGAGGTCTTATGACGGTGGTTACAACTAGTTTGTGCACTATAATCACTTCAACTTTGCTACGAAAGTTTACCAGGCTGTTTATTGTTTTTAATGTAAAAGAAAGCATTAGCCGTCTCATTGAACGACGCCGGTGAAGCCAGCGAAAACGGCAACTAAATTCCCATTTGCTGGGCGTTGTCTCTAGCAGCAGCGAAACGACACCCAAGTTCTCATTGGCTGCGAAACATTTTTCAGGGAGGTACCTGTTAAGAAAGTAAATTGATGGCTTTGAAAATAAATTTTTTCTACATTTCGGTCTGGGGGGAAGGGGGGGGGGGGGGGGGGGGGTTATTGGACCCGGGCCTCCGGGATGCGAGACGAGCACGCTTCCACGATGCCACGGCGGCTCCACGGTTCCGGCTGCCTAATGGTACGTTTACACTTGCGGATCCGCCAGCGAATCCGCCTAGCTTTTGTCGCTGGGGCGAAACGCTGGGCGGAAAACACGGCGGCGAGCCGTATGGGTCCGGGACCTATTTCTGCCGCCGAACGAGGCGTTTCGCTGACCGGAAGTGGCACTCCTGCGCAGCGCGACGCTGCCAACGTCATGAGTACGTGTTCTTCGGGGAGCAGCATCATTCGGGAGAGACAGCCGAGGTGGGAACTCTCGCGCCCTCTCGTCATATTTGACGGTATGTTACGAGAACAGATGCCGCAGCCGCCGCCGCCGCCGCCGCCTCTCGAACGAAATAGATGTAAACGCAACCCGCTCGTCGCCGCCGCCGCCGGGTGCGGATTCGCTCCCGCGGTAGCGGATTTCTTCTCAGGTGTAAACGTACCATTAAGCTGTGCCTAGTGCGTGCGTCATGCTTTCGCATTCCCACACGTAAGCAGTCTTAAGTGTCTCTGCCGAAATTTCTTCAAACGTGAATTGCAGGGCACAGTCCAAACGCATCGGAAAAAATCAATGCGAACCCTTATCCGCATTAGGACGAAGTTCCAAACTATGGTGTGTAGCTGCTTTACAATAGCTTGCCAGTCTACGAACGCGCTTGGAGATTTTTCATATCTTCTACCCTTGGGAAAGTAGAACCCCCCAAAAAAACCAAAAGTTCACGTAAACGATTCGTCCACATAAAAAAAAAAAAAAGATTTAACTGGCCAAAAACAACAACAACAACACTGCTTTTAAGAATTATTTTAAATGTGATGGAATTTCTTTCAAATGTGATGGTATTTCTTCTGGTACCGTGAGGTCCGCTTGCCCTCGAGATATGGCTGCAACAGTTCACGTTGTAGGTGAGAAATTTAGTCAGTGAAGTATTGTACGAAGAACAGCCGCGTAGACAGCCTTTTAGCGGGGCAGTGAAGCAAGTCATTGATGCCGAGCGCACGTTCACCTCGACCGCCAATCAAAGCCTTGCACGCACTGCCTTCACTTCTGATTTCTCAATCAAAGCTGCGCGATAGATGAGTGCGCCGACACATCATGAAAAAGGACACCAAGCGGAACTTCAATAGAGGCCAGGGTTGCCAGGTGTTTGAACTCCAACCCGCCAAACGTCTACGAGATCTAGCCCAAAAATAGCCAAATGTCGATCCAGAAAAATAGCCCAAAAATAGCCAAAAAAAACTTATCATTTGAAACGTTTATTTTGAGGATTTTGAGCAGAAGAGACACATAATACGTTTTTATCCATCAGATGCCCCAGAAATGGCGTCCCTTGCACTTTCGGCGAACTTCCCCAAACGCTCGTACAAGCGCATGACAACATACCTACGCTTTGCAGCAGCTGTGCATGGACGCCGCCATAACTGACGTTCAGTTTTTGTTTCCTCTTATTTCGTTTATTTCACTTCATCATTACCATAGCAGGCCAGGTTATTGCCATATTAGACTCAACTGTGTCCTTTTCTAAAGCATCGGCCTTTGTAGAGGCTCGTCAATGACCGTTTCAGTTGCTCGGCATCTCGGTAAGACAAGAGAAGGTCAGCAATGGCGGCTGTAATTTGGCGCGTGTGTAAAGCGTCTATATTGGGACGCTTGGTGACCAGAATGACGTCACGGGAGAACTATGCAGAATTCAGACAACCTAAAGAATGCGCAGAACAGGTGCTGTTAAGGCCGCAAGGAATCGCGCCGTCACTTGCTGAGATGGAGGAATAACACCACATGCTTGCATTCGGAGGTAAACAATTGCACAAGGCACGCAAAAAGAAGACGAATTTGTTTGCTGACGCAAACTTATCAGGGTTAAGGGACTGAAGCACCAAATGTTCACGTAACTTACTTTAAAAATACATTCGAACCTATAAACCCAAGTGCTTTCAGGCATTTTGGTTCCAGCACAGGTCAGAAATTGCCCAATGCACAGGTCAGAAATAGCCCAATGCACAGGTCAGAAATAGCCCAATACTAGCCAAATAGCCAACTACCATTTTTTCCCGCCAACTGCAAATAAAACTAGCCCAATTTGGCTATTTATAGCCCAACCTGGCAACCCTGATAGAGGCTATTTCACGCTGGGGAGGTGTCGTCGAAAGCGCAAACAGGCATGTCAGATTGGCTTGGCTTTCGAAGTGTCTTTTGCCAATCTAGAGCGGTGGCGCCATCTAGACGCGTAAATATTTTGAATAGGAGATAAGATTCTACCGTGATATCTCCTTAAGGCCTGCTCATTATAGCGATAATAGTACGTACTAAAAAAGAGGAGTGTCACGAACATCGACAGTTCGCCGCTGCTCTTAACGTGAAGGCGTTACACACCAAGCGGTACACTAACGCCGCTCTGCTCGAAAATTGACGTTCGCTCGATGTTATCGAAGAAAACTGCGCACAGCAACGCGGCACATGTTAGCTTCATTTTGCATTGAAAATGTCTTTATTGAAAGAGGTGCTCAAGATGTATGCGGTTCCTGGCAGATGCCACTTACCGCGGGTAAGTTAGCCTCCGAAAATGGAGTGTTGGGCGAGTTGGTGATTCATAATGGTTCAAAAGCGCAAGCGCTGTGTCTGTGTCTTCATTTCTGTCCATTGTTCTGTTGCGCTTTTTAACCATTAGGTTAGCTTCATTCGGCATTATTCACGTTCACTCAAAGTATGTGCCAGATAACCATCGCGTAAAGTCGTGATTAGGTCTGCTTATCGGGCAGATTGACGCTCAAAAACACGTGGCCACACCGGTAGTGTTATGAATCCCACATGCAAATGGACACCAACGACACAATTATTTTCTTCACGCCCACAGCTCGCGTAGGATCTGGGCTTGGTCGCAGCACCCTTCTAGTACACTGTAGCAATAGTTTGAAGACCTCCTTGTTTTTTAGGGGCATGCCCGTATCTGCGCTGTTTTCTGGCTGTTTCGCAAACTATTCTCCGATCTTCGCTTATCAGTTTTTATTTTATTTCTTACACGGTCATCGAACGCAGTCATCGTGTTCGCTGCAATCTTTATACGTATATGTGTGGGTTTTTATTATCATTTTTCTTTTCTACTGCTTTCGCTGGGAGGGGTCTGGAAATGCACTCCCAGATGCCTCCTGGCGTCGTCCCGACATGTGCGGCTTCGTGACGTCAGCTGTGCTCTGCCGTCGCTGGCTGCACCTGCACTCACTCGCCGCTGATGGCGGCGGACACTCGTTGTGTCTGGAAGGTTCGTGGAACTCTCGAGAGGGGGAAATTTCTAGTTTTGGAAGGCGCTGTATGTAACCTCGCCGACGCGCGGGATTTCAACTCCCTCGTTCGGCGCTCGCAAAGGCGGCATCCGAAAATAATCGGCGTTTATCGGCTAGAAATAGTGGTTGGTTCCTCGGTATAGCGGTGCCTCGCTTGATCGCCTGAAAAAATGTCCTCATCTATGCAGGGTTAGTCCGTGAAGTCTTGGACCGAGTCTCCCAAGGCACGCACTCGCGCCGACGTGCCGCAGACCCCACGCATCGGCAGAGGGATGGACAGCAACGGATCCGTCGAAAAATGCCGCAGCACCAAGACCCGCATTCGAACCGGTGAGTTTCTAACTTCTGTTTGCACATCCTTTTTGTCGGGCTCACACTGATGCGAAAGATGCGAACAAGAGCTTTGGGGCTGATTGATGTGGTCCCGATGCACGCGGACGCCAAAGCCATATAACTTTCAGCGCTGCCCACGAAAGTGTCGCGCGGTTAGAGTTTTATGCCTTGTTTCGTGGGACGAATTTCGTCTTTTTCTTCGATTGTATTCATTATAGGTTAACTATCCGACAACGTAACAAATATTTTTTTAAAGATTTTTCTGATTGAAAAATTACTTGCAAAAAGGAGCCGAACGTGAAGTGCAACGTTGGACGCGCAAGTTCTTGCCAAGCACGCTTTCTTTTTTTTTAAATTTATATAGATAAGGACGACGTAAAGGCTGGACTCGATGGGGCGAATATGCTACGAAAGATCGACGAATTTCGACGGCGGCTTTTGCGCTGCGCGTGGCATCAGCATATTGATTGCTGCGTCGTGCGCAAAGCGTGCGTGCCGCCGGGCGAAGTTCGTCGGTTGTTCGCCGCATCCCTTAATGAATCCCGTTTCGGGATACTGAGGAATACTGACAATGATTAAAAAGACAAACGTTTAATCTCGGCCACACGTTTCGCTCGCACAAAGCGTCATATTCTTATCACGGGGCATACAGGGAGCCGCTCAATTTAGTTTGTTGCTGCCAGATCTTCGACATGATCGCGACGTGTAATCGTGACTTTCAAAACTCGGATTAACAAATAATTGAGCAACCTTTATTTTAGTTTTGAATTTATTGTCTCGCTATGGTGGTTATAAGTAAATACTTCTGAACATTTAATGTGAAGAATGTGCCCTCTTTCTATGATTACTTGAAAAGAAAAAAAAAAAATGCTGTTGTTGTTGGTGTTAAAATAAAGCCGACAAAAAACTATGGAAGGGGCGAAATTATTAAGCGTGCCTGTCTTTAGTGTATGAAGTTAGAACTGTGGAAGCAACACGCGCTTTTTGTGCGCTGGAGCTGAGCCAGAGTCAGTTTGATCGTTTAATGCAGCCTGCTAATGTTGTACTCCACTGACGTTTGCGTGTAACCTGCTTTATTGTTGTTTTGTTTACTTCCCATTTTCGCAAGTTCATTGACCTTTTGTTTAGAGCTATCGCGCATGTGGCGATATCGTCGAACTTTACCGCTGCGGGAGTTTGTTGGTGGGTGGGGATTGGGCGTGTAAATGGACAAAAGCGGCCCAGGATTTCGGTGACTGACAATATTTTATCACTTTTGTTTTTTCTAAAACTAAAACGTACAAAACAGTTTTTGACCACAGGGTGTAATTAAGATGAGTGATTCCTGATGGGAAAACGTTATCCGACAAAAATAAATAAAATATAGATAATCAGATGCAACGTTGGATCTGGAGAGCAATGAGTATCAAAATTACGCCCTGTGTTGAGGTCCCAATTCTTATAAATTAATAATTGGGAATAAAAACTAAAACCCAAAAAGCCAAAACGTTATTTAGGGAAAATAATCGAAACTACCGATGATTGAAAAGGAACCAATCTGGTGCCAGTTTTCAAAATTTACTTAAAATTTATTATGTAGAGCAGCATGCCGTTTTTGCTAAATCCAGTTTGTTGTAAAATACTTTAGCATATCTTTTACTCGACAAAAATAAAGTGAGCGAGCGAAAACGGGTCTTTATTTTGTGAGAAGGTCACCATGCCTTCGCGGTGTGTAACAGCGGGTAATGTTGTAAGGAAACTTGGTAATTGTGTTACGTGATTTTGGCGAGAAGGGATGAGGCGACCGGACCCGATCTTCTGATGTGAGCATTAATGAGGCAATATCGTTCGACTGCATTTTTTAGGCATCGTCGACATGCGTTCAGAGGTTTCGATGTAAGATGCAGTTGATTGAATTTTATGACGTCGCCTTAGAATCTAATAACAGATGCGAAGTTGATTCCATATTCTAAGATTACAGAAAATCGTTTCACACTATCTCAGTGTTACTACAGAAACTTGCAGTTTGAAGTATTGCTCTGAAAAATGGATTAAAGATGACTTCATTTCAAGAAACCAGGAAGCTGTGGTAAATGGAACGTGCTCAGTTCCAATCTTAATTACATCTGGCGTGTTAAAGGGGTCTGTTTTGAGGACACTTTTCCACATTTTTATTAATGATATTTATCGTGGACGTGAGTCTAAAATACACCTGTTCGCAGGTGATTGTGCATAGTACGCTAATTCTGATCGAGGTGCCCATAATCTGACGGAGGCTTATTGCGGAGAAGGCGCCCTATATCCGAACTTTTGGTTACACTATCTTCGAACGATATAGGATGTTAATTCGAATAAATTTTCTTTTTAACCGGGGTGATAGTTACAGGAATACCGTCTTTCAGTCTGCGTTCGTGGTGCTTGGCTGACATTAGATGAAGTGAGAACCGCCCCGGTAAATTGGCCGATTAACTAAAAGCTCTCAATTAACTTTCCCTTTAATGGTTTAATTGGTCAAATTGCAATTGCAAGTTTAAAAACATCCAATAAGAGAAGCTAAATTGATTCTAACAATTTGGGAAATACCAACGGGTTTAGAGATAATCACCGAATAGTTTTTTGTGTGTTTTGTTATCGCTTTATTCCGAATATGGACGCAGAGAAGAAGAGAGAGAGAGCCTGAGCTTCCGTCCGTAATGATGCGTGAAAGAGTGGCGTGCTCGTAATAGGCGCTTTGTCATTATCTCGGCAACGCAACGTCGGCGTGTCCACCAAAAACACGCGATACAATGACGAGGGGCGCGAAACGACAACGTCACACTTCTACGCATGATTGTGGACGAAAGTCCCGGCGTTCTTTTTGCGTCCAGAGGCCCTAGTTCCGTCAATCGCAAAGTTGGGGCCGAAGTTTACGGAACGCCACGATGGATCTCTGACAACGATGACGCCGCACTTTCGTCGCCGAAATCCAATCGGCGCCCTCCGCGAACTTTGGGCTTCAACTTTGTCTTTGACGAGTTTAGAACCCCAGTTTTGTAATCGGGGTACAAAAACGGCGAAAGCTGTTTTTTTTGTTTATATCTCGAAACCCTCGGACGTTTTTCAAGCTGTTTAGTTCGTTTAGACAGTCATAATAACGGTCTTTAAAACTGCAATTTTAACATAACCCCCGGAAACAATAATTAAAGTTAATTAACATAGTTTAGTTAATAAGCTAACTTATCTTTATATAAAGTAAGGGCGCAAACGAGCTGGTGACGATAACTAGACATAACTCCGGCTTGAGACTGCAGGAAGTAAAAACGACACGCAAACACAGTCATACGCCCTTTTCAAGTAAAAATTAATTTTCAGCTGGGTTAGAGGCTTTGCATGTTGTGTCGTTTTTGCTTCCTGCGGTCTCATGGCTGAGTTATGTCTACTTCATCTTTGTTTATTCATTCCTCTGATGTTCACCGAGCCTCATAAATACGATGTAAAGGCGGTTCCTATTCAACTGTCACCGTTTATCATAAAAAAAAAAAAAGAAGAATAATTTGCTCGAATTAAAGTCAAGCACCAAATCAGGGTGCGGTAACTTCTGAGGACGGAACATGGTCCGCGCAAGTGAATAGAGTAGTTTGTAGTGCGGGTAGGTTTCTTAGAGTTCTACAGTGAACCTTAAAACACGAGAATGAAAAGGTCAAACGCGCATTGAGCGTATTTCAGACCGACTTTGGAATATGCCTGTCCTGCGTTTGATCGAGTCCACCGTGTTCCTATCAATGCGCTTGAACGTATTCAACCTGTTGCTGCTCGGTTTGCTAATCGCTCTCTGTGCATAACTAAAATAAAAGGAACAAACAAAAAAGTTCCTGGGTTATTTCGTATGAATATCGTACCGTAACTATAAGGGAGGTCGTGCTTCATCGTGCTTCACTCGCTATATTCCTTATCCTCACAAACTATTGATGTAAAATTCGCGTGTATAACACAAGAGCACATCTTTTTGAACGCTATTCCTTTGCACGGACCACCACGGAATGAAACTCGTTAACGGTGCAAGTGGTGCGCCGCGGCATCAAATCTGTAAAACGTTGTGCTACCCGCAATGATGCGTGTACGAATTACATACCAGCGACCTCAAATCCGATTGATCTTGCGATGATAAATGCATCGTCCAAAGAAAGAGTTCTGGGTTTTTGTGTGTCGTACCTTTTTTTTTTTGTATTTCGTACGGGAAATGTTCTTTGGAAGGCGCCTCTACCGTCTTCCTGACACTGAAGGTGTCAACGCGTCACTTTTTTTAAAAATTAGTTAGGCAATTCGTACTTCTCAACGCAATAACGAGTTAGTACAGTACGCGCAACTGTGAAATGAAACGCGCGAGTGGGATTGAAGCACGAAAAAGAAGAACCACCATGGTGTCCAGATAGCGCCAGCAGCTGACGCAAGTGGTTTCTTTGGCTGCTGCTCGCACGTTGCATTTATCAGTTTCGCGCATTGTACGTACAGTCTCCACCAATAAGAAAGACCCTTCCGGCGATGCAGTTTATGCGGCGGCGCTAAGCACACTTTGGCCAGAAGCAATTTATTTTTATACTGAGTATAACACAACGTTAATGTATTTCCTTACCACAAGCAATGCTGGCCGGGCCGAAGGGAACTCAGCACAGCCGCCTGAAAGTGCCTCGTCGAATGGTTTTTTTTATACTGTCTGGAGACCCTACGTTTCTATTTTTCAGTAACATCGGCTATTACGCCACTCGTTACTGGTCACTTTTATCGTCACGTGCTGCGACTGGCTAAGAAATAATACATTTTTTTGTTTGTCGGTGGTGACGAGTTGCACCTATTTTGGAAAATTTCTAAACTCCTCAAGTCATGAAAGTCATTATCGCACTCACAATAGACCAAATTCTGAAAATAAGCAATTCGTGGTAAGGATGAGCTTTGGGTGAGCTATGTTTGAGCAAGACAAAAAAAAAATGGAAACTGGCTCGTCTTTATAGCACCTCTTTCGCGGGCATTTCAAAGGCCTT